TTCCTTTGTAGATAAGAATAAAATTTGTAGAATCTGTCTGAATTTTCATGGAAACAATTATCGCCGCTATGCAAGAAAGTGTCAAATTTGTGATAAAAACCACAATACACTGCTGCATCTGAACAAACAATTTTCTAAGGTAAACATAATTTTAAATAATAAATCTAAAGTTTTGTATAACTCAAATAATAGTAATTCCATTCTGCCTACAGCTAAGGTGAAAATTAAAACCAAAGATAATTCTTGCATAATTGCAAAATGCTTGCTAGATACAGGATCTCAAATCTCTCTAATTACTGAAAGCTTTCTTAAAAAAATAAATTTAAAGCCATTTACAAATGATTTAACAATTATTGGGATTTCCGAAAATAGCACAAATTGCAATAATGCAGTTTTTGTCGATGTCAAGTCATCCGTTTATGATTTTGAAGTTTCTGTTAAATGTGCGGTGGTCGAAAAAATTAGTAGATTGCCTCAATCCCCATTTATTTGCAAGTTAGAAATTCCCAACATTACTCTTTCTGATGACACATTCAATTGTCCAAATGACAGACATTTTATTTTCTGCCGAAATATTCTTCAAAATCTTATTAAATAAAACTCATAGTCTTGATAATGGTTTGATATTGCAGAACACACTCTTTGGCTATATTGTCAGTGGCTCAATACCTTCTGTATTTTCTTCTTGTACTCATTTGGGAGTAACACGCAACAATTTGAATCAACTCATGTCGAAATTTTGGGAGTTCGAAAGAGTCCCAAAAATTTATACTGAATATTCAACAGAGCAAGAAGCTTGCGAAAAACTTTTTAATAGCTCCATTCAAAGAATCAATGGCAAATTTCAAGTTGACCTACCTCTGAAAAAGCCACTAGAGAATATCAATTCAGGAGATTCCTTCTCAATTGCACTTAAGCGATTTGAAAATCTCGAGAGATGTTTCAAATCCAATCCCAATATTTTCAAGCAATATCAAATATTCATAATTAGATTTAGGTCACGCCAAAATTGTGAATATTATTGATGATGAATTGAATAGTGGACAGGTTTATTTCATGGGACATCACCCTTAGTTAGGACAAGAGAACAACGTCTTTCAGGGTAGTATTTGATGGAAGCATGAAGTCCAAAAGTAAAAGATCTATAAACGACTTTCTCTATAATGGTGCTGTTGTGCAAAACTCTTTGTTTGATGCAAGGGGAAGTGATGCAGCCGCCAGCGAGGCGCCTTTCAACCCCTCTCGGGAGTCGGTGGCATAAGGCAGTACAGCACGAATCGACAGAGAAGAAGGTGCGTGTCACAGGTCGCAAATAATTACGCGAGCGCCCTCAGCCAAGTTTCAGGCAGTAACAAATTAATAGTCTTAAAAATACCAAGTTCAAGGTGTCTTTCATTTCAAGTATGATACAGTCCACTTCGTTTCAGTGCGTTAACAGACTCGGCTGCAGACAGGGACAGGCATTTTGGGTCTCCAAGTACAGTGATCTCCAAGCGGCATCTATTGGACTAATATATTTGATAACAAAAAAAAGATCCTTCAGTGGCGCCATCTGTTGGTGATTCTCTGCACAATCGGGCGGTGACGTCATAATCTTTTGGCGTCTGTTTGAAATGGTGGGTATTAATATAAAATTTAATTTTTTACTTTTTCGTTGCAACGGTTTATTTTGATTGCATAAATCGAACAGTGCAATGAAAATAGTTGAATTCAACTATGCTTAAACACCGGATTGCCATGGGTCCAAGAAAGGAAAATGTGACGTAAATTTGGTGGATATACAAGACAATAAAATTCCTGTAAAAGGTATGGCAAAAATACCTGTGATGTTCGATTTCCGTAATTTTATAATTGTAAATTTGATTGGTTGGAATGTTTTTGTAATTATACTTTTGGTAAAATGGGAAATCCCGTAAATAAATAAATAAATAAAAATCAACATTTGTTATTCTGAAAATGATGAAATTCGTGATCAGTCTATGGAACATCATCAAAATATTTTAATTATTTTATTAAATGACGAAAATGCAAACATTGAAATCGAAGAGACTGTTCGCGAAGGTTTCTTAAGTGATTTCTTCTTAGTAAAAGTCACAATACTTTAACCCCTAACTTGGCACGTTCGTTTTTGAGTGGTAATGTGCAACAGGCTCGCTTGCCTAAAATAGAGATTCCTAAATGCAAAGGACATTACAAAACCTTTGTAACTTTTTTGGATCTATTTAATGCCTCAGTTCATAATAATCCAAACTTGTTGGACATTGAACACTTTAATTATTTGATTTCGGTTTTAGAGGGTCCGTCCTTATCATTGGTAGCGCACACTCTCTTTGACAGCTGATAATTATATCACGGCTTATGACACTCTTGAACAACGCTATTCAAATGGTCGTTTGCGGGCTCAAGAGCATTGGTTTGCATTAAAAAACTGCCAAAAAGTTTCTGATGAGAATCCATCTGCGCTTTCCATAGTGCGAGATACCTTTTCGGAAAATTAAGCTGCATTCAAGACTTGTTTCCAACAGACGAATGGGATTTTGTCGTTGTTATATTTCAGTTCAAGAAACTTAATCAGTCGCTCGTAACTAAATTTAAATTGGAATATGTTTCCTCAAAAATTCCAACTAAGAAAGACTTGGTTGATTTTCCGCCTAATTTTGACAAAGGAAAGAAATCTGCTCCAGAGGCTTTCTAAAATAGTTGGTGGAAACGGCCATAAATGAAATGAAAAAATTATTTCCATTTATAGGAGCTGAGGCTGTACGAAACTTATTGGTGAGATTCTGAAGATGAAATTTATAGGGTATAGATGGAGAATCGATAAGGCTTTTTAAATCCACCTTAAATTAGTGAAGTGCAGAGTTTGTGAAAGATTTTTGATTAAAGTTTATCTTGTGAATCGAAAAAGTGTTAAACCAAGTGGCCCTTGAAAATAATATTTATCTCAGGAAATTAGCCCTATGGATATTCAGTTGGCATTCAACAACGCTTTTGTTGCCATTGGCTAATGGCTATATTGTATGAAAATGCAAAAGAAAAACTATCATTTTTATACAAGACTTGTTCACTTATAATTGGTCTTTGACTGTCCGATCTTTCCTAGGTGAGCAGTGACCGAAGCTGAACATCTGTCAAGATCTTCGATCAATGTGGTAGGGTTTTCAAATCGGAGAGGGCTCTCCAACGCCATCTTCAAGAAAAACACGCAGCCCCCAAACGAAAGGCTGGAGATCCTGCCACCTCCATGACGAAGCAAGCTAGACTTGACCAAATTGCTGGTAAGTTAAAATTAATCTAATTTTTTTAAATCTAATTTAATTCTTTTCAAGACCTTCAACATCAGCCACACACCGGTGCGAGGATTGCGATTTGGAGATTCCGATAAATCCATGGGAGTATCCAGCACCGAGCCAACACCTGTGTGGAGCCGGAGAAAAGCGTTAGTATTGTAAAAAACTTCTTTCAGGAACCGAATTGCCCCGGCTTTCTTCAGAGCAAGACCCTACAAGCGTAAAAGAATTTTTAAAACATTTAAAACAAAAATTTATCAAGCTATAGGGGACATGGTCAAGAAATATGGTCATATCAAAGTCGGTGTTGAGCTTCTTGGCCGCTTCCTCTTGCAAACGAAAGAGTTGGAATAGGTCAAGTCCTTCAATAGCAAATTCCGCGTGGTCAGCGATGATGCAGATCTGGAGGAGACCGTTTCCAAGCATCCTGAACAAGAAGTGCATGGAATTCCAGGAAAAAGAAAGTGGTATGTTTTTTTCAATACACTGTTAAATACTGAATAATGTATCTTACAGGTTGGGCATTGCACCAACTCTAACTACTTCATTTAGATATAGGCATTAATAAGGTCAACCCTCTAAAATCCTCTTCGTATTTGCATCACCAAAAGCGATAGATGCTAAGAAAGCTGTCTTAAATATTCAAAATCAGGTCCAAAAATGTTTTATGTGGTCGGTCTTGGCTCACTGACATCCAGTTGATCGAACTAAACCAGCAAATAGAGTTGCGACCTATTTGCCTTTCGAGTACGAGCTGGACTTTACAGGTATGGAATTTCCGATTCAATTTGAAGACGTTGGTAAGTTTGAACAACGCATTGATATTTTCATCAACGTTTACGGACAAGATGAAGTTTATGAAAATGGTAGAAATATTATTGAAGTTATTGGTTGTTTTTTTTGCCTGCAGAATTAAATATCTCCACGATGCATAGGCTGTATTTGGAGAAGTATGAAAATGAAGTTTTCCAGGCACTTCAAAGGGGGGAAGACGCTAAACCAAAAGTTACGTACGACTTCTACAATCGCAGTTTTGTATTGAACCATAACATTAGTTTTGGAACGCCAAGGTCACACACATGTTAAACCTGTGACAGGCTACAAAATCTTATGCTTGTCGAGCTAGATCCTGAGAGTAAAAAAGTCTTTCAGACTGAAAAAGAACTCCATATTCGTAAATCCGAAATGTTTTACAGAAAATTAAAAGAAGTCACGGCTCTCAGTAAAGAAGATGAGACCACAAAAGTATTATGCTTTGACTTCCAGCAGAATTTGCCGCTACCCCATGTAACAGCAGGAGACGTGTTTTACAAAAGACAATTTTGGGAATATAATTTTTGCATTCATTCAGGAAAAATGAGTACCTCAACCTTTTACATGTATGATGAGCATACCGCTAAGAAAGGAAGTAATGAAGTTATTTTTTTTTCATCATTACATACAAAGATATCTGCCTGCATCGGTAAATAAGCTCTACCTTTTTTCGGACAATGCGTTTGCATAAAACAAAAATCAAACTTTGATGAAATATTTATTTACTATGGTAAATAAAAATGGCAAAATAAGTGAAATACTTCACCAATATCCGGAACCAGGACACAGTTTTCTACCATGCGATAGGTCATTTGGACTATATAAAAGGAAGAAGGAAAGAATATACCTACCGTCGGAATGGATAAAGTTAGTACAAGAAACTTCGAAAATTTTTAGGATAGTTCCTGTAGAACATGACATGATACTAAACTTTTCAGACCATTTTAAACAACTTATTAAATCTGCCCCTAAAGGACCAAAAAAGGAAAAATTTGCTATATCAACTTATAGGATAATGAGGTACACCAAGAATAACAAGTTTATTGAATGCTCTGTAAGTACGAGTTTACTAAATTTTTCAAAATTTTTTATTAACGAAAAAGAAAATATCCCACTCTCAATGCCGAATAATAGAGCATACTTCACACCTTTGGAAATAAACCCTAAAAATTAAGGATCTAAGAGATCTGGTACAAAAGTATGTACCCTTAAATGATCAAGGTTACTATAACCGCATGTTTGAAAACATTACCTTTGACGATGAGGATCCAAATTCTACCGAACTTAACGAAGATCAAGAAGCCGGAAACGTCAGTGATTCTTCCTATGTTTGATATATTATTTGTTTACAATATTTTTAGTGTCATATTTCATTTTCAATAAAAAAAATGCAAAATTATTACATGTGTTTTGACTCTATTTTAAAAATTTTGGCTTTTCGGGGCAAGAAACAGGCAACTCCATTTTTTCAAACTCCTTTTTTAGCATCTACAATGTGAATGAAAAGCAGTATCTAGGTAAATAAAGCTTATCTAATATTACTCTAGAGAACTCATACCATTAAGCATAATTTTTTCTAAATTTCTCGAAAATATTATGTTTTTTTTTTTGATTTCCCAACATTTTAAAAAAGTGGAGTTGCCCAGTTCTTGCACCGAGGTCTTCGTTTGGAGTCTGGATCAGCTGGAGTGACGTCACCTCAGCAATCTATCCTCTTCCTAGATACAGGAAACAACACCAAGAGCTCCAGTTCACGAAAGTGAAACCCCAACACCCATTGAAGAGCTCCGAATTGGAAAGGTATATGGTATCAGATTCACCGGCAAAACCAAGATGGCAACACTAGAATTTTACAGTAACATTCACTGTTACTCTATGAAACATATTACATTGTTAAATATCAAATAAAATTATTGTTTGTTGGATTTTGAGTGGTTTCATTTGCACATAAAGGGACTACACGTTATCTTAATTTCATTTGAATTCAATGACCCTAGGTTATCTTGTCTTATAGTAACAAATTTTCAAATTATTTTGTAACAAATAGTAAATTCCGCATGGTCAGCGATGATGCAGATCTGGAGGAGACCAATTCCTGGAGAATCCATCTGCGCTTTGTATAGTGCGAGATACCTTTTCGGAAAATTAAGCAGCATTCAAGACTTGTTTCCAACAGACGAATGGGATTTTGCCGTTGTTATATTGTTGTTCAAGAAACTTGATCAGTCGCTCGTAACTAAATTTGAATTGGAATATGTTTCCTCAAAAATTCCAACTAAGAAAGACTTGGTTGATTTTTTGGAAAAGATTTGTGTTGCTTTTAGTACGCTCAATTTTCCGTCCAATTTTGACAAAGGCAAGAAATCTGCTCAAAGGCTTTCTGAAATAGTTGGTGGAAACGGCCATGAATGAAATGAAAAAAATATTTCCATTTATAGAGGAGCTGAGGCTGTACTACCCTTATTGGTGAGATTCTGAAGAATGAATAGAGGGAAACATTGTCTTATACACGGAAGGCTCCAGAAACTCAAATGGTGTTGGAGCAGGAGTCTTCAGCAGAAGACCGAGGATTGAAATTGAAAATTTTGTTCTTATTCTGTGTGCCAGAGAGCTAATTGATGGCTCCACCACAAACAAAAACATAAATATTGTGTCAGTCAAGCGGCGTTAAAAGCACTTGGCTCCTACCGGATAACCGCAGAACTGATGAGAAACTGCATACAGACCCTTACTGTGCGAGGCACCAATAATAGGGTAACCTTACCTGGGTGCCGGGGTATCAGGGGGTGACAGGCAATGAAAAAGCCGACGCCCTCGCTAAAAAGGGAGGGGAAGCCGGCTTTATAGGACCAGAATCAGTTCTAGGTGTTGGAGACAACTTCCAACACAACCATTAACTTTGATGACATTTATTAATAATATAGGTACCTGACATGTCAGATGTGAGGGATATTTAAAAATTTGTCATTATTAACTTGACATCTTCATAATCTTGTTCTGCTCATTCTCTTGGTTTTGTACTCTTTTATATAATAATTATCAGTAAATAATATGTTATAATATGGTGTGTTTCGAACACACGATGAAGCTTTACCTTTCGAAGGTATCTTTGTAAATAGCGTAAATAAATTGCAGATATTATAAAATTGTTACTTGCATCCATGAGCTTGAGAAGCATGAAGGTAAGCAAATTTATTTTATTTCCTTTACTAGGCATCACAAAATCAAATGCTAAGGATACTATTTCCAGTTGGGCAAAAATTAAGATCCGATCTCACTGGAATAGCGCGGTCTTACCCACTTTAAGGCGTTCATAAATAAACCCTCTAGAAACTACACAAAGCAGATCCTGGAATGAAGCAGAAAAGACCTGCGCATTCTCACCGGACAGCTAGCCGGCCACTGTCGTCTTAACTACCACTTAAACAAGATTGGGTAGAGCAGTTCTTCGGAATTCCGCTTTTTTGCGTGGAAACCGAAACATCAGAGCATATCCTATGTGCCTGACCGCAGCACTGGAGAGGAATAGGCTATCTTTGGATACGCCCAGCTGGAACTAAACGACTTCAGGCAAATCTTGCCGTTCACTATCATAGACTTTATCATGTGGCTTGTAGGACAAACTATAACCATCAATTGATTGTAAGAGGTATAAGCCACAATAGATCCAGTGAGAGTCGCAGTGGAGGGCTGGATAATCGGCCCACTCATTTCAAACCTAACCTAGGCTTCCAGTAAAAAACATGATGAACAGTATCATCGAAGCTACGAAACTTCAAAGTAGATGTACTGTTGCCATGATTCCAACATATACAGGGTGTCCCAAAAAGATACCGACAAACTTTAAGGGGTAGTAGGGGACATCAAAACAAGCATTTTTGTTTATATAAACATATGTCCGCAAATGAGCCATTTGGGCTGTAGAGCAAAAAAGCTGTTTGATACTTTTATTCTTCGCAATAATTAAATCACTGTTTACTTATTAATTTTGCTTTATTATCTAATAAATTATGGTTTACAATAATTGTTCAAAATGTTGACCATCTACTTCAATGCAAAGATTACACCGTCGGGTCATTGACTGAAAATTTTAGTCTACGAAACACCTATTCGTAATGAGGAAGATCTGTTAGCAAGGATACTGGCGAGTTATACCCATGTAGAAGCTATTCCCGGAATATTCCAAAGAGTTCGCGAGTTGAACAATTATTGTGACCATAATTTATTTGTTAATAAAGCAAATATAATAAGTAAACAGTAATTTAATTATTGCGAAAAATAAAACTAGGTACCAAACAGTTTTTTTGCTCTACAGCCCAAATGGCACATTTGCGGACATATGTTTATATAAACAAAAATGCTTATTTTGATGTCCCCTACTACCCCCAAAGTTTGTCGGTATCTTTTTGGGACACCCTGTATACGTCATTTGAATTCAGACGATTGCGCTCTGAACCACTACAAGTATGTAGATTAAATTTAGAAAATCGATGTCTCTCACAAGTCCCACATGGACAGCTTACGGCGTACCCAATAGTACTTCAATGAAGTTCATTGAATGAACAGAATTGAAACACAAACACTTTCGTTCCAGTGAATGCAACGCAGTTTCAAGTTTCAATCACTACAATTTGGTTATATCTCTGAATCTCAACAATAACCTGAAATACTCTATATTATTACCAATATTTCAAAGGTTTGGCCTTTAAGTTTTGAGAGACTCCATATCAAGAAAAATGTTGACGTGATGAACAAAAAAGCTCAAAAAGGGACCGCAGCTTGAACGACGGTCCATTACAAACAAGCTGAGAAGTTTGATTCAAAAATCCATACACTGAAAAACTTATCATGTCGTGCAACGGAAATTACGATGATATTAATATATAAATAAAGCAAACATGCCATTTTTTCTCAGGTCACCAAAAATACTTATGTTTCTAATTGGAACCAGGAAAAAATTTAATGGCATGTTGTCTGTAAAATCTGGTTCCAGTGATTGTTGTTGTATTCAAATAGGTATGGTTTGCTAAGCCTTCTATTAGCAAAAATAATAGTTATTCGTTGCCTGTATTTTTTTCAATGGAAAATCATCACCAAATTTATGCAACTTTAAACAATCTGGATTTGGATAACTTCCTGTGGTGCGATTGATTAGCAGTAAAAAAGCCAAACGACAATTATAAACAAGGAGCTGCAACTTAAAAGGCAGTCCATTCCAGACGAGCTGAAAAGTTTTATTCAAAAATCCATACACTGAAAAACTTATCATGTCGTGCAACGGAAATTACGATGATATTAATATATAAATAAAGCAAACATGCCATTTTTTCTCAGGTCACCAAAAATACTTATGTTTCTAATTGGAACCAGGAAAAAATTTAATGGCATGTTGTCTGTAAAATCTGGTTCCAGTGATTGTTGTTGTATTCAAATAGGTATGGTTTGCTAAGCCTTCTATTAGCAAAAATAATAGTTATTCGTTGCCTGTATTTTTTTCAATGGAAAATCATCACCAAATTTATGCAACTTTAAACAATCTGGATTTGGATAACTTCCTGTGGTGCGATTGATTAGCAGTAAAAAAGCCAAACGACAATTATAAACAAGGAGCTGCAACTTAAAAGGCAGTCCATTCCAGACGAGCTGAAAAGTTTTATTCAAAAATCCATACACTGAAAAACTTATCATGTCGTGCAACGGAAATTACGATGATATTAATATATAAATAAAGCAAACATGCCATTTTTTCTCAGGTCACCAAAAATACTTATGTTTCTAATTGGAACCAGGAAAAAATTTAATGGCATGTTGTCTGTAAAATCTGGTTCCAGTGATTGTTGTTGTATTCAAATAGGTATGGTTTGCTAAGCCTTCTATTAGCAAAAATAATAGTTATTCGTTGCGTGTATTTTTTTCAATGGAAAATCATCACCAAATCTATGCAACTTTAAACAATCTGGATTTGGATTACTTCCTGTGGTGCGATTGATTAGCAGTAAAAAAGCCAAACGACAATTATAAACAAGGAGCTGCAACTTAAAAGGCAGTCCATTCCAGACAAGCTGGAAAGTTTTATTCAAAAAAAAAACATAGAAAAACTTTAGTAGATACAAAGCCTATTTTTGTTCAAGAAATTCACGTAACCTAAACAGTACTCGTTCCTTATATACACAAAGGCAAATGAAAATATTCAAATGCTATTTGCCCACTAGTCTTTACTTTTTCTAATTGGAACCAGAAGAAAAAAAAAGATTGTTCAGTGTTCAACCTTATTTACTTAGCATGTGGATTAGAAGTTTTCTAGTTTGCAGGGAGATTAGGCTCATTATTATCTAATCCACCTGTAAAATATTGCACGTGCTAGGTAAAGCACCGTGTATCCAGAGACTGGATAATTAAAAAGTGTTAAAAATCTCTCAATAATTTCAAGTTCCTGACAGTGGCAAAAAATAACTTTGTCCAATGCAAGTTTATGCACTTAGCAAAAAAGAGATTCCTGCACAGGATCCACCTGAAAACCTATAAAACAAACAAAATAATTGTCTTTTTATTAATTATACATCAAAATACAAGAGGTTATAGAATAAACAAGTTTTAAAATTTGAAATTTGTTTTTTTTTTAATCAATAAAGTGATGAGTACGTTAGACAGTAGTAGTAGAGTCAAAAAATTAAAATTTAACGAATAGCCCTCCGTTTGAACACGTTAAGGTTAAAAGGTTAAATCGTTCAGGTAATGAAGTAGGAGGTAGGGATTTGCAGAGGTGGGCAGTACGCCAATAAAAAAAAAAAAACGATATTTAGAGGTCTTCTGGGTACCCAACTTTACCAGATAGAGATGGGATGCCTGGGAGGTTCCTGTGATTCTTCAATAGCTCCTCCTAGTTCAAATGAGGCTGGCCAGATCGTCAGAACATCTCGTGATACCTTGCATTTATGTTCGAGAAATTGCAATGAATCGGTGAGAGTTAAGTGATCGATCATTTTTATACTCTCCTTTGTACTGCATCTAATAGAGCCAATAAATGCATGGGATCACAGCTCCAGATGTAGGAACAGTATTCCATACTGATTTGAGCCTCATAAAGGAGTTGTTCAGAACTGAAGAAGTTTTTTTGAGAAGCGGTTTTGGCGATCGAATATATATGGTCATGCTAAGGCAAGTTGGTCAAAGCGATCACCCTAAGAAGAGTTACTGAGGGATTGATAGAAAGGTTTTGTCTCGACATCCTCAATACTGGTTTATCATCCGCAAAAGATTTCTTATTTGAGAATTGTTGCTTGAGTTTTGAAAGCATTGAATTTGACTAGGTTGTTAAGGTCCCAGTATTGGTAATGATCTCAAGATCACTGTTGAACGGATATATAAATGAGATGGGACGATAATTGCTAGGAAGAGTTATCTTGCCCTATTTCAGGATGGGTGCACTCTGGCACATTTCCAGATAGATGGGAAAACGCATTGACAAGAGTGAAATTAGTTTGCAAAGAAGTAAAGCAAATTCTTGTGCGCAATTGGTGGAATGAAACCACTAGATTTCCCATCCTCAAGTTGAAAAATAATTTCCTTAGTAGTTTTAGGTCTAAATACAACGTTGTCTCTGTAAAAACCAATGTCTGGCAGTACCAATGCCGATCTGCCATTGTCTACCATTGTGGAATTGGATGCAAATTGTTTGACGAAGAGATCTGCTTTTTGCTTTGAGAATACTACAATGGAATTATTGTTTATTGAAGGTGGAAAGGAAGATGTAAAATATTTTCCTATGGTCTTGGCAAATA